GGGGGGGGGGAGGAGGAGAAGAAATAGGCAAACCTTTTAAATGGTTCCTGGCAAAGTCTGACCTGAGCCTTCTGGTCTTGAGTGCAACCAGTGGTTTGTGCATTCGTGAAGGTGTCTCTTGAGTGGGCCTTCACAATGATGTATCTACCTCCTCAAGAGTGTCCCTTACTTCATTAGATATTGTGAAGGAGTCTTAGTTAACCTGGGAATTAATTCTGGCATCATCGTTTTCAGTTGGCTTCATGGTTTTTAAGGCGTTGCTGAGCTGGCTTGGGCATCGGCTTCTTTTTAAAAATGTAGCAAATTGTTGATTTGGTCACTGCTTAAATATTTGTTAGCTCTCCTTTGTTTGTCTCATATTGATAGTTTCAGTCAAAAGCTATCAAGTAAAAGGTTGAGACTTGGAAATGCCTTCAAATCTATTGTCTGATCTATTGAGTAGTTCTTAAAGTGCAGAAAACTGTAAACTAATACTCCAAAAAACTGCAATATTTCCTGTGAGAGTAAATATAGTAGTGTTTGTTACTGATAACATAATTTTCTGCCATCAGTCTCAGGTGGAGGCAGCGAAAGCCACGGATCTGCCGGACACAGACACTAAGACAGCTGAACCGGATCCAGCTGAAACCTGGAAGAAAGACTTCCAGTGCCAGTGGTATAAGACAGAAGACCAGGATGTCTTAGACCTGCAGTCTCCCAAAGATGGAGTGTCTCTTGGAGGAACACTGGAAGCAAATGCTGGAGGTGTAACAGAGACTACAACAACTGCCGCAACAAAACGTGCCTCTGTGACAGAATTTAGTGGGAGTAGCACAGCTGGTACTGGAATTCCAGCACCTTCACTGGAAGCATCGACAGATAAGGGTACCAATCCCCCAAGTCCCCCAAGCATCACCGTTTTGCTGTTGCTGGTGGTTGGAAGCCTAAGCCTGGAACCTTAAATTTTGAACTGAACAGCCTTCCTCTTGGAGGACTGCATCAAAACCACATGTGTGAGCCCTTCTGAAGTGCCCTTGAGCAAAACATCCAAACCCTGCCAGGTGCAGACAATTAACCAAGTGTGTGATCTGAATGGTGCATCATTAAGAAAAGGACAAACTATGACCAGAGCTGAGGGTGAAGACCTACCACTGGTTGTGCCAACAGATTCAGGTTACACTGACTGGTTGGATTTAAAGAGAAATGACTAATAAGCCAGAAAGTCATCCAACCTCGCCACGCACTGGTAACGTTTGTAAAACTGCTTTGAGGTTTGTCCGTGCATGTGTGTATGGCCAGAGAAGGCCCAAAATACTCTGGCTCCCCTTGTATTTCAAGAAATGAGTCATGTTAAAGGGCTGGTTCAAAAATAAATGTTTTATTTTATCATGAAATAAAAGAACAGAAGAAACCACACAAGCACACACAAATGTCAGTGACTGATTTCATATGCATGTAACAAAGGCTGCTGTTGGTTACAAGTGTAGATGATCCATGGTAACGGTGCCTGGGCAATAAAACCAAAACTATTCACATCCCTGAATCATGGTCCAGGTAAGTGAAACGTCACGTTCTCTTATTTTGGGAAGCTCAACTTTGAATCTGCTTTTAACAGGGAGTTTATTTAAAGCTTGGCATGAAGAATTTAAATGCAAATTTCCTACACAATGAATGTGTGTCATCCTTGGGCTACATATTTACCATATTAACACACACACACACACACACACACACACACACACACACACACCTCACTTAAGCTTTACATATCATAAATGTTAATACTGCTGAGATGCAGCACATATTTTCTGAGTGCTCTGGCCTCCTCTGCCTGAGTTCTGCAGGAACTACACCGCTCCACACTGGGAAACCGTCACTGTAGGAAAAGCTCAGTTGTAAACAATAAAATGAGTGAAGGCACAATTCTGGTTTGCCATTTCACTTTCAGGGTCACTGGATTTCAAATCTGGGCTCAACACCACATTTTCATGGCTTACAAAGAAAGCAGTAAACGCAGTACTCCAGACAAGCTGCAAATTCATATATATAGTCTTGTGTATAAGACTGTGCTGTCCTGTGAAACTGAAGTACACTTGATGATCCAAGAGCTTGTACAACCATCTTTAGATAATCTAAAGAAATCATTTTTTGTGTGACTCTCACATTGTTGCAGAGGAATTTTGTCCCACTCTTCAATACAACCTCTCTTCAGTTCACCAATTGTTTGGTTTTATGCACAGCTCTCTCAAGGTCCTGCCAAAGCATTTCAAAATCGGCGACGCTCTCATCAATGGATGGGTTTTTCTCTTTTTTTCAGTATTTCTTTCACAGGTTTGTTGCTGTGCTTCACATCATTGTCCGTGCACGACCCAACTCTGACATTTGACTCTAGAATACTTTGGTCTTGGATTCCATGGCTGCAAAACAAGCCCAAATCACCATCCCTCCACCACCGTGCTTGGCAGTAGGTATGGGTATGCTGTGGTTGGATTTCACCAAACGTGGTGCTGTGCATTATAGCCAAACATCTCCACTTCAATCTGGTCTATCCAAAGGACATTGTTCCAGAAGTCTGATTAGTCTTTTTCTAACTGTGGGGTCATGAACTTGAAAAATTAAGATGTTAACTAAGGCCTGTAGAGTCTGAGTCCGATCACACAGTTACCTTGGTTGAATCTGCTGGGACGTCCATTCGTGGGAAGGTGAATAATCTTTCTCACTGTAGAATGATGGACTTTAAATTGTTCACAAGTAGCTTTTTAACCCTTTGCAGACTGATGGGCAGCAACAATTGCTTCTTTACTTTACTTCACTGCTGATGTCTTTCCTCCTGACTGCTACTTACACTCCTCTGGCAGCAGTAAAGATTCATTTTTAATCACAAGACTGTAACAGAATACTGGAGGTGGTATTCTGTTTAAAAAAAGCTCCAAATGTTTGGGTTTTTTGCAGCTTCTGTAAATTTATTTTTCAATAAAATATACAGTCAAGACAAAGGTATCTAAATCATTTTAGTTACAGAAAGAGATCATATGTACACAGGTGCCTCTGATTGTAAAACAGAATTTAAAAAACAAAACAAGAAAATTACATTTCCTCTCTTACATCACAGCTCTATGATGTTTCTCTTGCCTCAAATATCTATCAAGTCTTCCAGTAACATTTTTTTTAACTTTACACTCTCCTAGAAAACAGCATTTACATCTTTACACACATGTACTGGTCGACGTCAGTATAACTGAGGGAACCTGGATGAATATTAACTTTACTATATACCTTGAAATTTTAATAACATTTCCTGGCTAAAACCCTTTCCAACGAGGTTCAAGGGACGTAATTAAGAAACCAAAGAGCAGTTTTACACAAACAGCCATCATAACCAATTGAATGTATTTTTTGGTTTGATCTTTACCGCACTGATGATAACAAGTGCAGAGCGACATAGAGGGGCACGTTTTGCAGAGTTAATGCGCTGCTCTGAGCTCCACATCCACATATGACACTTCGTAAAGATGTTTGAAAGTGACTTAATGGCTGAATTAAGCTTCAATATTATGTTCAAGATTAAAATGTATACTTACCTTGCTTACAGTATTGCTCAGACAACATTTTAGATTAAAAATGACTTCAGTATTTGGTTTGGATCAATCTTGAAACACTACTGACAGAAATGTATGCAGAGTCCAGTGTAAGACAACCAAAACAAGACTCCTCATTCCAAATGACATCTATAATAAGGTTCGCTCTTAGAATGAAGATCTTCAACACATACTTTGATCTAGGTTAATCCTACAAGTGCAATTACAGCAGACATTTCATTAAATTAAGAAAGGCTGGGAACAACAGCAGGGCGACGCTGCACTCACTGGCTTTATCATTGGGTAAATTAATAAATGCTTAAGTAAACCACCTTAGCTCACATCCACAGGCCGTAGCTCTTTTTTGTTGTAACACTGTGTCCACTGTGCTGACATTATAAAAAGTTGCACAACAGTTTATCTGCTGTCTGAGTAATTTCTCTCCAACCCTTCGGTGCAATCAAAAGCCAGAACTGTGAATCAAAATTAATTTTTAGCATTTGATTTTCCATGTTTCAAACACATTTATTAAATGCAAAAGTACCCATCTTCACCAAAGTAAAACAGAAAGCTACAAAACCTCCAACTTGAGTCATTCACCACGTTTAGCAGCTGATTTAAGTCCAAAGCTGGCAAAGCCTTCACAATCATTCAAGAGCAGTTTAATGGATTTAAAATATGTTTTTGAATGGAGCTATTCTAATGCATAAATCATTTCTTTAAATTGGGTGAACAGGAACCTAACCAAACACGATACAATTAATGACACTGAGCAGTGTTTTTGTAGTTACTCGCCTGGAAATAAAAAGACTTTCAACAGCTTTAGATTTCACTGGAAATCAATCTTCGCTTTCTTTTCTCGCGATACTCAGTTTTGTGTGGCTGCAGTGGTTAATTTTTCTAAGTGGTTTCAGTCAGAGCTGCATAGAGTGTAAAGTGTTTAAACCTTGGAAATCGAGTTGTAACAATGTGCACATGAATCTTGTTTTATAAAGCCACATTGAGTCACGACTATAATCACGAGGGGGACAGACTGAAAAAAAGAAGACTGCACACTGATCTGAGCCCTTGGTTTGTGTTTGATGACAAGATGAGATGTTATCTCTGGCTACAAGTTATGGGAGGCATGCAAGTCATGAATTTACTTAACCCAGTCAGTCTCTTGGGTTGCTAATGTAAGCTAGCCATCTCAGCACAAACAGTGCTAACGAGAATGAGATGAGACATTCAGTCCTGCGTGTGCTCAAAGTTACAATGCTTTTATTTTTAAGTTACGCACAATTATGCTGCCCCTTGATTGTGTTTTACAATTTAGCCTATCAGATGCACTTTACTTAGTTTTACAGTTTTATAGGATGTAAGAATTTAGGTTCTCAAGATGTGATGCAGCTGAATAATGAAGAATTAAAATCAGGAGATCAACGTCAGTATCCAGCCTTATAAATGGCATCCAAAAGTCAAAGGAAATTAAATACCTGAAGCTGTTAATATTACACGTAATATTTAAAGCCACTGCGAAGGCTGCACAACATATTTTTCCAGTTATGTACTCAACATCATCTTGGACTGCACTGACAGAGTACGGACTGTACTGGTTCCCAGTGGCACAAAGTTTCAGTGTTTTTGAACAAGCACGCATGCTGAGGAAACTGAAAACACACAAAACACGTAAGGACAAACAGACATGACACAACTGTAATTTCTCTTGCAGTGAAAGAATCTGACCCTTGTTGCATAAGATTAAAAAATAGACTTTCTGTTCCTGTGCAAAAGTCACCGCCTTCTGAGCAGTTTATTATTGCCTCTCCAGTGGCAGAGAGACGGAGAACGAAACATCACCTCCATGTGGGGAACAGAGGTTAGTGCAATCTGAACCAAGCAGGCTGGACGGAGACCAACTCACTCCTTTTAGACAGTGAAGTGAAAAAGAGCCCATTATCCCACCTTCTTTAAAGATCTGTCCATGTGCATGTGTCCACGGTACAAGAGTCTCTAAAATTGGTTAATTTGTGAGATTTTGTTTCTTGACAACTTGGATAGCGTAAATGTTGTGAAAAGGAAAAAGCTCAGCCTGAAGAGCGAAATAAGCACAGTTCATCTGAGATCTCACAACACAAACATGAGGAACGTCTAAGCAAGTCCATAGGAACTAGGAGTGCCAATAATCCAACATGCCGAGCAGCAACAGTTCCCGGACTCCACGGGTGTCTTCGCTGCAGTATGTGTGTGTGTGCTACCTGCACATGGGTGGGTGGGTTGCACACATGCGCCTGATGCTAGACCTTTGCATCTGGGATGTTTGTTTATGGTGTTACTTGCAAATTGCCTCCAGAGTGTCAAGGGTGCGTTTGATATCGCGTATCTGCGTAGCCAGGTTGTGTATGGGCTGCATGGAACGATCCAACTCCTCGCAGCGAGCCATTAGTGTATACATGCCCTGTGGAGGCAAAAACATGGACGACAGAATTTATCAGAAAAGGAATAATTTGTACTTTAAAAAAATAATGTGAGGGGGTTTCCCACTGTGGTCCTAATTTAAGGTTTTTCCTCATTAACAGTTTCTTTTCAGGTTCACAAGTTAGGAATGCCTTATGTTAAATCATATTTCTGTAAAGTGACCTATCATGTAGCGACTACAATCCAAAATCCAAACCCATAAACAAAACTCGTGTCCAAGGAAAATCCTGCAAAATGACATAAGCTGGGCTATCACTATTATTTAGCTAATTAGGTAGCAAAGGTTCATAATGCATGCTCTGGTGGACCCAGCAAACAGCAATCTTTACTTGTCACATTATGTGAAAGGAACAGAAATTACATGTCACCTTTATACTCATATCTACAGACTCTCCCAGGCTGTCCACTGAGTCTCTGTAGGTCTGGATATACCCCACACTCAGAGCTGTCATCTGCATAAAAGAGATGGTTAAGAGAGAGATTAAAGAATAGCACAAAAACAAAAGGGGAGAAATAAAATAGTAACATAAAACATGAAGACCCTGTAATATATCTACATACACCCTCAGCAGTGCTATTACAGGGTTAGACCCCTTTTTGCCTTAAGAGCTGCATTAACTCTTAATGGCATAGATTCAACAAGGTGCTGGGAACATTGATGTCAACATGAAAGCATCACAAAGTCGCTGCAGATTTGTTGGTTGCACATCCATGATGTGAAAGATGCTCTTTGGATTGATATCTGGTGACAACAGTGAACTTGTGATATGAGGTGTTGATGGAAGGCAGGAAGCTTTTATGTTGTTTATGCCAAATTCTGACCCTACCGTCTGAATCCAAAGCAGAAATCGAGACTCATCACCAGGCAATGCTGTTCTCAGCTGACATCTGTGACACCCATCCTCACCTTAAACTACTACGTAATACACAGACTTCAATGACGTGTACGTGTTACACTTCTGACTCAGACGACAGCATAAACAGGGTGATTTGAAGAAAGAACTACTAAGACTCACATTTTGGATGGTTCCATTGAGGCTCCGCATCATCACCTCCACACTGTGTGCCACTTCCTGGGTGTGTCTCTGAAGGTCCAAAAGGACGGTGGGATCAATGGGTGGTATATCCGCTGGTCGCCGTGTCAACCCTCGACTTCGGTAAATAGGACCCGAACAGTCCGCTAGTGAGAGTCATCATAAATTAGATATACAATATAGAATAGCTAATATAGAATATACTTTTTTATATAAGCCATTAGCAGAATTATCTATAAAGTGCAAAATTATGGACACTGGAGGAGGAGATAAGCATATGCCTTCTGAGTGAAATGCAGTGAACCAAATTCTAGTCGGACCTGTGGGGTGCAAAATAAAACTATAACTACAGTGAAGAAGGAAAAAAAAAAAAAAGAAACACTGAATAAAATGAAACATTTTTATTTGACTGTTTCTCAGAAATTGAAACAAATTACACACTTAGCCAAGAGTGCCATGAGTAATTAAACCCTGGATTAAACAAACCCCAGTCAATAAATTGGATTTTAAAAACAAAAACAGTTTCAACCTCTGAAAAGTTTCTGTCGGGCTGTGGCAGGACCTTTAAGAAATCCCTTCAGTCTAAACAAGGTCTGTGCGTCATCAATCTTAATTGAATCAGCAGGTAGAGAGAATGAGCTGCCACAGAGGACATATTGACTGTGGCCCTGTGTTTAAATTGAGAGGCCAGTTTAGCTGACACTCTCATCCAGGGGGGTTTCTGAGTGAAGGGCAGGGGCTCTGTGTCTTACTCCAGCGAAATCTGACAAGACGGATGGCTGCTAATGCACAAGCTCTGCCAGGTCGACCTGCTGAACCTACATAGATGATTTAATTTCTGAGACAGCGGCACACGTGTGGGATTTTGAGGAAAAAGAAACAAAACCTTTTCTCCTGGGGTTGGGTCTCCATCATCTCCCCACAGCTCAGACTTAGGCTAATTTAATCACACAGGAAAATGGGAAGATGAGGAGAGGGGAAGAACAAAATCACCTTTTAATTATTACGCTTATAAAATCTTATGCAGAGAGGACTCTGAAGGGAAACAAGCACTGGTGGAGGGTTTCACTAACCAAAAGTGTAACTTTTAGAGATTTCCCACACTGTTCTCAATGATATGAGCATAAAGCTTAATGCAGAAACATTTCCTGAGTACGTAAGAATCACTAAGACAGGATAAACCTGATTCATACACAGTGTAGAGTATCTACCTGTTAGAATGGCTTGTTGCTTCATGTTGGCACCATCACTGACATTAGTCACGTTTTTAGCTTTGCTTTATTTCATTATTTGCTGCAGCAAGTGATGTTTCAACACTTAACTACTCTTCAACTGTAACGATCTGTATATATGGTGCACTTCCTAACTGAATAAACACATCTTTCCTTGAGTCAGTCACATCATTTTTCTACTCAATCTATTGAGACAGAAAGTAAAATAAATAACTTAAAAAAATAGCGACTGCATGAATTGCTTAGCTTGTACAGCATTAACATTGTGTGATAACGACAAACCTGTCAACTGCAGCTATTGCGTGCTCGGAGGAAAAATTATACATTTGTTAGAGATGCATTGATCGATAGGGACCAGAAAAGGATGATTTTTTTTTTTAAGTCTTCTCTGCTCTGACGAGTTCCAGTTGGTGAGACTCGGGAATGTCCCATGCATGAACCGGTCTGGTTTATGCATGGGCAACACATGCACAGCGATGCACACGAACAGTCATGCGCACATTGACAGCCATATGCTACCATGTTGTGAAGCGTGGAAGCTTTTCACTGTGAGTGAAGACACCAAGTTTGCTAAAGTAAACTGTAAAGGGGGGGTGGGGATCAAACCTAACCAGACACTTATATCAACCACACCCAGCTGAACATGGGCATTATAAAGTAGCTAAGAAAGGAAAAGACACCAAAGCTAAAACTATTCAGAGCTCTGACCCAGCAACCTCGACATGAGCAACGGCTCAAACCAGTAAAACCTGTAAAAAAGATCAAATGGAATTTGTCTGACAGTTATTCTTGTTACATAAATCTGTTGCACCTGCCTTTGTTTGCCTGAGGTAAAATCTACAATCAGAGATCTAACAGCTAAATATTTTAGTGAAATCAAGCAAACATCATTATATGTAAACTTGTCTCTTTAGGTCTGAATGTAGCACACATACAAGAGCTGTAAACCATACAGCTTAGAGTCCACACTCACACATATATCACCACATCTGTCTTTACCGTGGAATTCTTTTCTCAAGCAAATCTGAGTTGCACCGATCAGATTGTATGCACTTGATCAACTGCCACTGAATGACCCCACAGGCCATTAAGGGATTCAAGTAAGCCAGTTCATAATAGGATAACCAACCATGGCAATTAATTTGCTTAAATTAGTACCTCAATTCCAATTTACTTATTATGGTCTAAGCAATGCATTAATGATGACTAGTCACTGACTGGGTGTGTTTGCCTCTGCAAGGAGGAGCAGGCTGTGAATCTTAAAGAAGACAACTGTCACTGCAGTTCAGTCCCACCAGCTATACAAATACCAATAACCTGTTGAAATGCCACATTCTACAGCAGGAGTACAAGCAGTCATGAAAGAGCTCTATCTACATGTCCTCTACACCAGCACAAACTGTATACAGTCCACACATACAGTATGCATGTTTCTTCTGTTTGCACTTAGAATAAAAAACTAATACAGAAATACAAAATGTTTTCATAATTTACAAAAAAAAGGGAGAAAAACTGTGTTTGAATAATGTCAATTATTCCTCTGACTCTTTACTCACAGTCACTGCAGTCCAGACTAGGCTTGGAGCTCATTTTGATCTTCTGCTCGAGGTTTTTTGTGATGAAGTTAGTCAGGTCTCCATCATGACTGACTGTACCCTCTAGTTCCAAAGCCGAGGAGATGGTGGCCCTTCGGCCCTCTGACTGGCCACTTCTGCCCCCTCCTCGAGCCCCTGAACCACCTGCAACCAATACCAACAACTTGTGGTTACAAAACACTGTCGATAGTCAATAACACAGTTCAACGTGGATGAAAAGTTAAACAATGTCACAAATTCCACTTCTTTTTACTTCACTCTGGTGCTTTACAGAAAAAGATTTTCTACATTTCTCAGTTTAGAAAAGACACGAAGAAAAAGCCAGACCACGGGAAGATGCACATCTACCTCCACACGCTTGACTAATTTCATCCAGGCTCTTGCTGTCCTGCATTCCCCGCACATTGCGAACCCAGACCTGGGCCATGATGTGAGGAGGGCAAGGGGTATCATCTGAAGAAAGAAGAGGAGGTGGAGGAGAAGAAGAGGTGGAGGTACTCGGACCAGGGGCTGAAGATGAGTAGCGTTGTGAAGACTGGAAATTTTGGAGAACAAATAAAAAATAAAAAAAGTAGAGAAAATTTACTGAACCATGTGGAGCTACACATATCTCCTGTCGTTTACAGTGGCCACGCTTTTCTTTGATAGACGGCTTCTTTTCTCACTCTTAGGTTTATTCACTCTAAAATAACGACAATCATCTTGTCAATCATTGATAGTCAGCACGCTGCACTTTATTTTAATCCTACTGAAATTTGTCTGAAAGAGGTCATGTTCTGATGACTCAGCTACATTTATTTGCGCTGGCTTTAGTTCTCATTACATCTGCTGACATCATTCTCTCTTCCTCCTTTACCCTCTGCTCTCTTTGGTACACACAATCTAATAAACCTGAAATGTCAGAACAATAATCCGGCACTCCACTCACTTCCACCTTTGTTCTCCTTCCGGCGCGCTGATTCTCCAACTTGTTTTCATTCTTCTCATCCTCCTCCACATCCTGTTTCTCTGTCTCTCCATCTACATCCTCCTCTTGGCTGTTGGAGCCTCCATCCGCAGTCTCTGCTTCTGTCTGCTGCCTTTCTGTGGTGACTGGGTGTCCTTGCTGATACGAGTCTTTGGACTGCCTGTGCAATGCTGAGTCCCACAGAAGAACTGCATCAGCAGGCTCCACAGTCTTAGAGGCTTCATCAGGAATGTCTTTGGATCCTAGATCTGTTTCTCCTGTGCCTGTCACCGTGGGGAGGGAGGGGTTTGCCTCCTCAGGGCTTTGTAATGATAAGCTAGAGGTTCTCTCATTCATGTCCATCTCTGTGTCCAAGTGGCCTTTCCCATGGTGAACTAGGTTTTCCATATTAGCATCAGCATGGTTCTCTGTGTGCATGTGGGACTCATCCACAGATGCCTCCCCGGTACCTGGTACTCTACTTGAACATTTCACTGAGACCGGAGCTTGAGGGCCATTCTCCAGTGCAACAGGTGTCGCTACCCCGTTTGCCGTTTCTGGCACTTCTGTGCCAATCACAGGGGAGAGACTCATCCCTCCGCCTGCTGATTACAAAGAAAGAACATTACTGGAAACCTGGAAGTGACTCTGCCTTTTAAATCTATAATTAAATTAACTGGTTTTACCATGAGCTAAAAGGGTTTTCCCACATACCAAAATAACATTTTTCATACAAACCATTTTTTTTTAAAAAGATGAACCCATCTCATCCCCTTATCCTTCCTTAATCATCAGCGCTAAACACTAAAGTACATTAGAAAGGATTCCTCATCTAAATTAGAAAATGTTTGATCAGAAAATTCGTAAACAAAGTCAAGAGTCTAACCAAGCATTCAATGCCATCTTTTGCTACAGTATTGAGTATTCAATGGTTTGGCCAGATCGTACTTGAGAAACACAAGTCAGGGGGTCAAATATCCATCAATAGGGCCTGATGATGTGGGTAGAACCTATGAATTTTATCCAATGGATTACTTACACATGCAGCAGTAAAGAGAATTTTCTAGATTTTTGAGCACATGGGATGCAACAGAAAGGCAAAGCAAACAAAAGTTTGCATACAATCATAACGGACATGAATGTCACTTTAATTTTGGGCTTTTAATGATCTCCTTGAACTGGTCTTTTACCAGAGTGGAATGATTACACAACAAACATATTTAATAACTTCAAAAAGGAAAAATTGAGAATTGGGTGTAAAAATGTTAATTTCTTTGTGATTTCTGACCACAACTGGACATTTTAAAATGTAAGTAAGAATATAGTAACTACATTTTGCCATGTAGCTGAACAATGGCAGCTGTTTATGGTTTGTCTTGATCACTTCGATGCATCAGGAACATCGTTCTCACCACTCCTAAAGCAGTTCTCAAAACAGTTAAGGCATTTCTCATAACACTGAACTGTGCAAAAGACTAAAACAATCAAAAGTTTTTCAGGCCAAACCAAGCAAAGTCAGTCGACAACGTCCAATCTGTCACCAATGAATATTGTAGGGCGACTATTACTGTGTGTGTGTGTGTGTGTGTAACTGGCCTTCTCTTCCCTTTATAGTTGAAAAAGCTTTAAAACTGATATGATTTAAAACACTAAATCAATACCAGACAGCATTAAGGTAAGTGATATCTGAAAATCTGACTGCCAAAAGTGTTAAAAACTGGTTTTCATGAATCAGAGTCAAATGAAAAATGCATCAACACAATGAGAAATTGAAGTATGTGTAGAAACAACAGCAGTGCGTAGAAACACAATGAGAAATGCTTAATGTGAGTAAGGAGACTTACGTTACTGCTGTAAAGAGAAAACTCTAAAGGCACAACCACAGACAACAGGAGAAGAGTACATCCACTGAATTCACTGACTCCTCTTCAAAAATAGAATAAGTGAATAATGTGCTTGGTCTCCTGACCTCTCATATGACGTACAAGACAATGGAAACAATTCGACTGTGAGAAGGGGACTGCTGTGAGAGTTTTCCAGAGATTTAAACACGTCGGTGTTAGCTGACACACTTATGGATCATAACAATTTTTCATAAAGACTGAAATGGCGTCGTACTAAATGGTTTAGCACAATACTAAGCTACCTTAGGGTTCATATTAGCTTATATTTCCAGATTTTAAGACAGCAACGCCCGAAAATTACTGTGCGACAAACAAAGAGGAACTAAGAAAAAAACCCTGACAAGCATAAGTGTCTGCCAGCGCTGAGGAAGTTGTCGTAGTGCTGTCAGAGTCGCCTTGCTAGCTCCCTTTCAGCTGCCAGTGCAGTTAAATGACGTTAGCGCAGCGCGGCTAACATTAGCAGTCCAGGCCTCCAACTCCCAGAACACTCACAGCTGGCTTTTATTGTTTGACACGGCTACATCAAAACGTACATTTAGTGCTAACCTTCGCAGTTACCTACAAACAGGCTCATACAGCAGCGCTACAGAGCTCCGTTAGGCGATAAAAACACTCACCTGAGGAGTTTCTATCCTGATAGATGTAAGCAACAACCGAGTCCGATGAAAATATCCTTCCGCGTCAAGTTCCGAAAGAAATGTTCCGGCCTGCAAAAGCCATCATTAAACACACACATATATATATATATATGTATAGATAGATAGATAGATATATAGATATAGATAGATATATAGATATATATGTTATACGAAAGAAAAAAAGTTCTGTCAGCACGACTCATTGGGTTTAAATGTGAAAAATAATTTGTAAAATTTCATTAAAAACTGTCTCAGATTATCCTGTTATAAAACATAAAGGTTCTGTTACTTCTTTGTACTTTGTTTCTATTTAATCTGTTACTTAGTTACTTTGGTTTAGTATGAATGGCAGTGAGAGATGCCTTTATCAGCAGAATAAGCTGTAAAATGTATCAAAATACAGCAACACATTTTCCACAGATGTACAAATGGACCACAAATGTCTTTGTCAGGCAGATTCTGGCACCCCTGCTTTAAAGAAAAGCGGTTGTGTTCTGAGTGTACTTATGTTTTCAGTTTATCAGCATCATTTTGTTCCTATATGTGCTGAAACTCAGTAAACCGTTTATCCACATGATAATCCTGCATTTCTCTATTTACCCCAACAGATGGAGACAAACACCGCAGGTCTCCAGTCTGCAAAGAAACATCCTCGACTACAAGCTACCTGTTGGTGATTTTCGTCTGCCAAATACAGATTGAGGTGGACCCTCCTTTACCTGTAGTTACAGCCTATGACCAAACCACCCCAGTGTTGTGGAGCTTTAGCAACTAAGCAAGAAGCAAGTCCACTAAAATAAACTGAACAATAGCAACAAAAACTGAAATGTTGGTTACCTTGAAGGTGCAATATGTGTTGTAATGTTCATGCCACATGGGCCAAGTGTCAGCATATACTGGTTTGGCTTTGTACTTCTCTTCAGTTACATATCTCCAAATCTAGTGTAAATAAGCAATCATAGAAAAATGTGCACCACTGCGTTTGCTCTAATTTGTTTCAGAAACACTATTTCACTAAAGCCTCATTTAAAAAACAACAACATTGGTTTGATTTGGGTTTTGTTTTGTTTTTTAGGAATATTGGACATAATTTTAGCAGATGGTGAAATAAAATTAGTAACTGAGTATAAGTACAAAGCCAAAGGGCCCCCAGTTTTGCCTGGTTGCACACTGGAAGTCAGGACAGTGTCTGTGGCTTCTTAAATCTTTAAATGTGGTCAGAAATGACAAACACTGCTGTAGAGGAGGAGAGAGGAGTCAAAACCACACAATCACCACATCTGAGGATCTCGTATAATTTCTAATCTAAGCCATCCATTCAGGCCAGCTGTGTCCTGTCTCTTGGTGAAGATTCAGCTGTTTTATCCAATTTTCTTCTTCTCCTGATGTGACAAACATCAAAGCCTGTGAAATTTACCTAAAGACTAAAAGACTTTAGAAATAAGCCAATATTCAAGGATTTCCCAGTAGAGCACTTTGTAGTCACTTTGACTGTTTCCAGGTTTTGTGTTTCTTTTTTTTTTTAAGGCTATTAATGCCAAATAAGCTATTTTAGCATATTAGGAACTGCCACAAGAAAGGCACCGTTTAGGAAAACGAGGAATAAAAAAAAGCAAATTGAAGGCACATGGCTCCACACACATGTGGTTTTTGCATAATGAAAGCTGGAGACTGCATGTTGCACAAATGAAAGTAAAAGCCTGTAAATCATTATCCCACAAGTCACAGATATTAATTACATCCATACTCAAGGGGCAAGACAACTGTGCTCTTCAGATGACTTGAATTAAATCTGCTCTTCTTCATGTGAGGCAATTTTTGCTCACGGCAACCAAAACTGCAGCTGAATTTATTCAGTTTTGTTCAGTTTAGACATAAACTTTAACAGGGTAACACTTTAAAACTGTAGATGAAAATTATAAATCCTCCCATCGCCCCCAACTGTTTTTTCCTACCAACTGTTGCCAAGTGTTTGCCCCTAGGAGTTCATCTGATTGTTGGCATTTTCTCTGTATTATTGTAGGGTCTTTACCTCATAATATAAAGTGCCTTGAAGTGACTGTTTTTGTGATTTGACTCTATGCAAATAATTAAATTCATGAATTCATAGTTAATTAAACTTTTTCACAGTTTACAACAGTAAATGGGTTAGCAGTTTAATAATTAATTTGCAAACCAATGCACACATCTGGTTATTAAGAAGCAAATGGTGCTTATAAAACTTGGTAAACTGTTAACAATAAACATGGCTGGATGGTTAATACACTTGCCATGGACACTTCATTAGGTACACCTGTTAAACTGCGTTTTAATGTCTAATCAGCCAGTCATATTGCTGCAACTTGTAGAGATGTAGAGACTTTCTCAAGTGACCATCTTGAGGGTTTCCAGAGAACGGAGAATATCTGTTCTCTGGCTGAAAATGCCTTGTTGATAACAGGGGTCAGAAGAGAATGTCCAGACTGCTTTGAGCTGATAGGAAGGCACAAAGCTCACACATTATGACCAAGGAATGCAGAAGAACATCTCTGAATGCACAACACATCAAACCTTCAAAAAGTTGGGCTACTTCAGCAGAAGACCACAGTGGGTGCCACTCTGTCAGCTAAGAACAGGAAACTGGGGCTACAGTTTGCACTTGCTTACAAAACTTGGGCAATATGAGACTGAAAACGTATAATGAGTCTTAATTTCAGAAACAGCATGAAAGCTTTAATCAGTCCTACCTTGTATCAGTGATGTAATTTAGAGGTGTGTGGGGGATAGTTTCTTAGTTACCTGAGCAGAGTTTAAATGGCACAGCCTGTCTGACTACTGTTGCTGACCATGTTCATCCTTTTATGACCACAGTCAGTGACGATAACAATAAATTCTCTGCATTCAAACACCCTCCACAGTAACCAGATTTCTATCCAACAGAGCTGTGTTGTGCACTGTGTTGGATCTGAGCCATGAAAAAAATGATAAAGCTCTGAAGACAAAAGGAGGTTCAACCCAGTACTGGCAAGATGTTGCTAACGAAGTCGCAGGTGAGTATAAGGTTATAACACTCATTGTGAAGCAAACAGGTGAGATGTGGCTGGCATTTATCACTAAACTGTGAACACAGAGACCCTGTTTTGTGTTTAGTTTCTTCCACAGGTTAGTTACATTTTCCCTTGTTGTTCAATTTACCTTCGACTTGCTGTCTATCGAGATGCCAACAAACTAGTCAAAGCCGGTCAGGTTTAGGACAAAATGAGAACTGAATTAAAATATGACTAGCTTTTAGTGAGGCACTAAAGGCCAGGGATCCTATAAGGGTGCTTAGAAACCCATCACAAACATGGACATATTTAAGTACAGCTGTTAAATAGGAGAGATATTGTGTTTTTGGCGAGGCAGCTTCAGAGCATTTTGGAAAGTCTGGCAGATCGGCTAAGTGCAAGACAAAGTAGAAGACATAATCAAACAGAGGCATCTGTGATAATGCCTGCGTTTCCAACAACCGTGGAGTCCTTAGAGCTCCAGTGGAGTCACTCCAGAAAACCATCAGTGGCAGTTAGCTGGAAAATTTAATCTGAAGCCTGAGCAGACAATTTTATTCAGCATGAGAACTTCACTGAATGGGATACTGTGGTGAAGTGCACAACCCCCTTATTACACCTAAAAAGACTCTTTTATGAGCGAAATGGTGAAAAGACGTCTTTCTGGTCACCAACCAATGGGAAAGCCAGACGAGTAGATGAGTCATTCTGTGTGGCAAATTCTAAAGTTTCCCCTTCTGAGAATTTTTTTTAAAGCATGCACTAGTTTTTGGTACATTTCCCAAGCATGCTGTTTTTATTGAGCCCTTGAAGGAAACAGCAAATACCAATAAACGCAAAGCCATTTATGTCACCACATGTCTCATGTCTTGTCACCATATCGGTCACACGGGGAGTCTAATTTGCGTGTGGTGGTTAGCACTGTCGCCTCACGGCAAGAAAGCCCCCCATTCAAATCCAGTCTGGGGTCTTTCTAGATGTCGTTTGCACATCTGCAAGAGATCCTCCCACAGTTGGGCTAATTGGCGATTCTATATTAACTGTACATGAGAATCATGCATTTCCTCTGCTGGTTGTTCACTGTGGTGCACTGTGCACACTCTGCATTTGTTTAGTAAAGCTTCACAAATTCCTTATCAGCCATGTGAAACTCTAATATGGCACTCTGAGCTAAATTCTACTGACGGCATGCTGATATGCTCACATTGATAAGACATGCTGACAGTTATTGATCAGTGTTTTCCATCATCAGCAACTTATGTTTGTGCATAAGCATGCTAACCTTTTCAGCCAGCTGTCACTGAACGTTTACATTTTTAAGTGTTATACAAAGGACTAATTTTGCCATGACAAAGAAACATCAGAGGTCATTATGGGTCATCCTCTGTCTTTAACAAAAAGAATGACACTTTATCTTCTAGATCTTGACGTATTTCACTGGGTAAGTTAAAAATTGTGAAATTATGAGCATTTTCCTGGGAACCCCGTGTTCAGAAACATAAAAGAGAGCCAAACTGATATTCTGCCACACAAGAACATGAAAACTTTTGTCTAAATGTTTTGTTAGAAGATGAAGTCACATCAGAGTGAGTTTCAGCTGCTCGCATGCCAAAACAAAAAGCGTTTTCTAAAAGTTCCACTTCACAGAGTCCTTCATAGGGTTTTTTTGTTTTGTTTTGTTTTATAACATGACGTGAGTAAATTGACACGATGTATTCGAAAAGACTGTAATCGCTGATGAGAGCCAGATGATACCTTTTGCCTTTAATGTATAGCCTAATAAGAAACCAAATGAAATATAATTATGGAATCACAACTTTGTCATCCAGTAGAGGTTTGTAAAAAC